GGCCGCGGCCGGGCTCCCGTTAGTCGCTCCTGTGTGCACGCGTCTCGTCGCGCGGTTTCGCTTTTGAAGCCGTGTGTTCCGAGAGGATACAAGCGGCCATCCCGGCCTTGTCAGTAGGAGACTAGTGCGGTTTCTGCCTGCCCGTGGGAGCGTTGGTATTTCTCAGCGTCATGGGTAGTGTGTGTGTAGGTCTTGAGAAGAAAGGATTCTGTTTGATGCTGTGCTTTCTCATGTCTGTCTCCTTTTAGATCCAGAAACTCAGAGTTTAAAAGAACACCTCATTGATGAGCTTGATTATGTATTGGTTCCAACGGAAGCCTGGAATAAGCTAGTGATGTGGTATGGCTGCATGGATGATCAGCAGCCTATTGTGAGAAAAGTAAGTATGGATGAGCCCAGTTCTCTTCAGCCTGGTTTTATTCTCTGATTTCTACCAAACTTAGTGTTTATTTTGCTAGATGTGAGTTAGGACAGTGTCCTCGCCAGCTCTGTGGAGCCTTTTGCCTTGTTGTCTGAAAGAATAACCTTCCAGTGTTACAGTTCAAATGCCTGAATTTTCAGTGATTCTCAGTTGAGGGGTTATATGAGGGAAGAACTGTGAACATTGTTCTGGTTAACTTTTTGCACTATGATTATTTGAACCAGTGCAGTTCAAACTAGCGCAGTGGTTTTATGTTGCATGGAATAATTTGCACTTTCTTGAAAAACCAAAGTTGTCAATATTTGCAGACAGAAAGAGGCATTGGAGTATAGATTGTGTTTTAATGCTGGCAGCTTAGGGACTTCCTCTGGAATTTAAGGCAGTTCTTGTTTTCCCAAATTCTGTTCCAGAAAGTGAAATATCTAAGTTTCAGTTTTGGAAATGTATCAGATACTTGCTTATGCGTAAAAGTTTTTTTTGTTTGTATTTTAGTCTTAGGTTTTTGCGGTGACTATATTAAGTCATTAATCACTACACCAAGTAAATAATGCAGATATAATGTACAGAATTAATACTGCTTAAGTTTTGAGTAGTGTTATGTTGTGTGGCTTCAAGGAATGCAAGGCCCAGGAAAGTGTGTCACTAGAAAGGTAAAAGGATGTAAGATCTCTCTCTTGCAGGCCCACTGCTGGTCAGTGCTAATGCAATGTTGTCACTCAGTGTGGGCTAGAAATTATATGGAATGAAAAATTCTCATGTCTTCAGAAAGCATGAATGGTCCCAGGTTCACTCTGCTGAGTAGAGAGAACTCCCATGTAAACCAGGGGTGGGGGGAGTTGAAAAGAATTACAGCATGTAAAGGAGATGCAGTTTCGGTAGAGATAATTTAATGAGGAATAGGAAAATCAGTACTGAGAAGGAAAGCTGGAACCATTGCAGATCAGTGCCTCTCTGAGTGAGGAAGCTTTTGTTCATGAGCGTGTTGTTATTTTCACAAAGCCTGGCATGTTGTTAGACACTCCCATTTCTGAAAAATTCAGAAGTTGGACAACGGGTTTGGAAGCTGTTGGGGAAACACTTGGATGACAGGTTTAACCATGTGAGTCCCCTTTTCTTGGGGTATCAGATGCCACTATTCAATACTGTAATTATTGGGGGCTAGAGTTTAGGGCTGGGGCTGATTTGCAGGTGTAAGATGCCAAGTTATTGCAGCCTAGTTAAGAGCAAATTCTTAAAGTTTTGAATTGCTACGAGAGTATCAGTTCCTGTTTATTGTTAACCCAGTAACTAAAGTGGATTTTTATATTTCAATGTTAAAATATAGCAGAACATTATGTTTGTGGGATGTTACAGCCTCTTATTAAAACATAAAGTGAGAGGTCGTTTGGGCACACAAGCTGTAGCAGTGCACCTGAGCAGAACATGTCCAGTATTTGGTTACAGTATTCTCCAGATAGTGTTGGAAGCAAAGCACTTAAACTTGTGGTCCTTGAATGCTTTAATCCTTTTCCTAAAGCTGGATCAACTGTAATTCACACATCAAAATACCCATAAAAGTAGGATTTGGAAAGTAGTGTTCAGGCATCTTTTTAATTCTACAAGCTGGTATTTCTTCCACCTCTATGTGTCTGATGATCAGAGACAAGTACAGGAGGATTAGATTAGATTTACTTGTGGTTCAGGTTTCTTTTGATGATCTCAAACCATAATTTTGTGCAGTCTTCTGTAGAGTCCCAAAGTGCATAAATGTGCAAAATGCAGAACAGTGTGTTTCCTCAGTGCTGTGCTCAGGTTGCTGTCCAATAGGGTGGACACATCTTACTGTGACACAGGACAAGCCAGCTGGTCAGATACTCATTAAAGGACATCTGCAGGCAATTAGAGACTCTGTCATTTATCTGTCCTAATGGACACAATGAGCTCATCAGAAACTTCTTGAAGAGAGTTCTTCCATTCTGAATATGGTTTTTATTTATTTTTTTCTTGCTGTGGAATACTGGAGAACAGGATGTCCCATTTAATGAAATTCCTTCTGAAAAAGAAATAGGGAACTTGTGAATTGGTTCCTTTGCATAATTTTTCTCAAAAAACAAACAAACAAGAAAAAAAAAGCCCAAACCCAAACCACCCAGAACAACAACAACAACAAAGACTGATTTGCTTGTCAAGAAGCTGTTTAAAGAGGGAGAATTTTACTTTCTGTTGTAACAGCAAAATACTGAAGGTCTTTCCAAATGTATTTGTTAATGATTTACCTTTAAAGCACCTTATCTATCTAATACAACCCAATAAAAGCTCAGAAGAGGGAAGCATGACACAGATGTAGATCATGGCAAGTCTGGTGTCACTCAAATAGAACAGAATATTTCAGTTGGAAGAGACCTACAAGAATCATCTAGTCCAACTGCCTGATCACTTCAGGGCTGATCAAAAGTTAAAGGAGATTATTAAGGCTGTGGTCCAAATGCTTCTGAAACACTATTACTTTTAAAAATTACACCAAATGGTTCAATAAATTATGATCTCAGTTTCACAGGCAAGGAACTGTGGAGGGAATTGTGCTGTGGTGTTTGGTGTTCTGTGGTTTGTTGGATTTTTTTTCTTGGTTTGTGTGTGGGGTTTTTTTCCCCCTTTCTCCTCCAGTTACATCACACTTGTCTCATAACTGGCCTCTGAAATGTACTTTTCTCTCTGGTATGATTTGTTTTGTGATCTGTAGGTAAAGCAAAGTGTCTGGTCTTATAGAATACTTTTCTATAAATATGCTGAAAGCTAGTGAATGGGTAGGTGTACTTAGTGGAGTATTCCCTTAAAAGTGAAATTGATTCGAGAACAGCTCTGAAATAAAGCAGTGCCATCAAAATGAGTTCTGGCGAGTTGTCTGTTTTTGCAAGGAGAGGCTAATGGGGTGCATTCTGTATATCATGCAGAAAAGTAATGAATGCTTTGTCTTACTGTCTTCTAATAGAAGGGATTTTGCTCTGGTGCTCCAGGTTTGTTTCTTTTTTATGTAAACCTTAGGCAAAGACTAGAGACAAGTTTATTCCACCCCCCTCCACACCCCCGAATGCTGTGAGTGGTCAAATATTCTTCGTGGGTAATTACTGGCACTGTCAGTTCAGCTGTGGTGATGGACCTTTGGAACTTTGCACTTTGGAAGGAAAGCACTATGGTTTCTTACGTTTTAGAAAATAAAAACTTCAAAACGAGCTGACAGAGGTTGTGGCTTGGGAGCAAGTCAGTGTTCAGTTTATGGCTTGACTTGCAAGACTCTTATAACTTAAAATATTTAGGCGGTGTACCTTACAGAGCACTGCTCAGTATTTTAACTCTGTGTTGTTTTGTTTATCACATCTGCCTTCTGTTTGCAGGTAGTGGAATATGGTCTGTTTGTGAAGCACTATAAGGTTGAAGTTTATCTTCTTGAGCTGAAGCTGTGTGAGAGCAGCGATCCTGACAATGTAATCAGCTGTCACTTTAGCAAAGCAGATACTGTTGGTAAGTAGTTCTCTGATGCGTGAAGCTGTGCTCTGAGGCTACCTCAAGAGATATTTTGTGCTGTCCAGAACAAGAACAGTGTTGATAAACTGGAGCAAGTCTAATGAGTACCAATAGGATAGTCAGAGTTGGATCATGTGATGTCTGAGAAGAGACTGAGGGAGCTACTTTTAGCTTGGAAAAGAGAAGGCTTTGGGGGTCCTCATAGCACCTATGAGGAAGTTACTGAGAACATGGAGTCAGGCTATTTACTGAGTCACAAAGCAACAGACAATAGTCATAAGTTGAAACAGGACAGATTCCAATTAATACAATTCAAATGCTTTCCCTATTAGCACAGTTAGGCATTTGAACAGGGCCCAGAAGGGTGGGGGAATCTCCTGCCTTGCAAGTTTTGAATGCCTGATCAGATAAGCCCTAAGCAGCCTGGTCTGAATTCACTGTTGACCCTGCCTTGAGTGTTTAGACAAAGAACCTCCTGAGTTTCTTCCAGCCATAGGGATTCTGCGTGTGACACAGGGAGCTGTGATTAAGAGCTTTGAGGAGTACGTTTCTAACTAAGTCATGTCCTTAAGAAATATCCATGTCACTCATGTAAAGCAATTCTGTCTCTGGTTCTCCTATGATTCCTTCTTCCCTAGTGTATGAATATTTTAGACATCTTCATGGCTCTTCATACCCTTTTTCCTGAAATTTGGCCCATCTCTCTTTTTCTCTCTCTGTATCTTTGCTGTATTTTCCTGTGTAAAGATACTGAATGTCAGCTGTCATATGTTCATAAAGATACTTTTTTGTTTGTTTGCTGGTGTATGGCCTGCCAATAGTAATTGGGAACACTTCCTTCTTGAACCTTCAAACGATGGCTGTTTCACAGCAGCTGGCCTTTGGGCAGAGATTTCTCAATGTGTTTTGAACATTATTAGTTTGAGGGCTTGACAGGCAAGTCAAAACAGAAGTTTTTCATTCTTTCAGACTAAATATTAGACAAGCTATACAAACAATTACAACCTTCTTGATTCTTTTTGTACTCAAAGGATCTGGAAGGATTAATGATGTACCTCCTTGCTGAATGTCTGACTTGCCAGCTTTTTTTCCCAAAAGCACTCATGTTTTAGGAATTTTGTGGTTTTGTTTTTGTTTTTTTTTTCCCCTCCTGAACAGCTACCATCGAGAAAGAAATGAGAAAACTGTTTATTCTGAGAAGGAAACTAGGTTATGGAACAGGTATATGAGTAACACTTACGAGCAGCTCTGCAAGCTGGATAGCACAGTCCAAGATGCAGGGCTCTATCAGGGTCAGGTAAGGGGCATAACTTTTGATTCTTATTTACTGCTTTCTCTAATATGGTTTGGGTTTGTTTTTTTTTTCACTTGCTTTTATGTACTTCGAGCAAATATTGAAAATGTGATTTGTTAACGATGTTGCAAATGTGTAGCAGACTTGCAGTTACCTTTCTTAATTACCTGAACTCTCTTTCAGGTTGTTCTAATAGAAGTGAAAAATGAAGATGGCACATGGCCTGGACAGCACATCCTGGCAAAGTAAGCAAGCATGTTCTAAATGTTTCTGTTCTGTTGTCCAGCTTGTTTGCTAGACTGTAGCCACCACTTGTTCTCTCTGGGAGCCCAGTTATCATGGGCTATTGTGAATTTCTTTGTTTTGGCTATTCTGAAGGAGAGGAAATCTTGAAAATAAACATTCTTCCAAGGTTCTGTTGCTGATTTCTTGTCTCAGCAAGAGTCTTCTGTTTTAAAGCCTATTTCAAATAGATTGTGTAAGGATTAAATACCTTAAGTTTTAGAACCTCTAGGTTCTTAGGAGACACAAGTGCTATTTACATTGAGTTAGTCTGCTTAAAAAGCTGCCTCTGCAAACTGCACAGTGGAGGAAAAAGTCTTCTGTTGTAGAACAAAAAGAATCTTGGAGTATATTTCCAAAGCTGCTGGTAGTGAATGCTCAGAGTTCTGGTAGTTCCCCCTTAAAAAGTGTATTGAAATAACTGAACACCCCCACCCCCCCCCAATACAATTATACAAGCCTCTGAGTACTACACAGGTACGTCTACTCTCTAATTTAGAGAAGAGCTGAGTAGAAGGGTGGCTTGATGAAATATTGTATGTATAGAGTGAATGATGTAGAATGGAAGTTGCTTGCAGTGGAAAGAAACTGCTCATACCAAGTTCTATGAGTAGGCCATGATAAAGAAAATGCTTTTCTGTACGATATGGTTAACTTCCAGAACCTGTTGCCAAGTTCTCTCATTTGAGATCAAGATCTTACTAGTGTTAAACATGAAGAAAGGGTCAAATAGGTCAGTGAAACCTATTTTTAAACAATTCTCTAATTTGAGAAGTAATACTGGGTAAATGGATCAGGAGAATGTCCATCATATTGCAATGAACTTTTGGTAAGAGTATTGTGTGAAAAGCATCTAAACATTTATACCATGTACATAATCAAGTACTGGTTGACAGTCACTGACTGAGAGGGAGCTGTGCAAGACCAGATCATAACCTGTTGTTTCCGCATGAAACAAAGCTAAAAAGGAGGCCTGTAGCATTCCCAGGCCTGTATTTTCCTTTTTTGTCAGCTAGTCTGCTATGTAAAGACTTTAGCCTTTAGAGATACTTAGATGGAAATGGTTATGGGTATGCAGATTAGTATTTGCTAATGACATGGAAATAAACATTGGCTTATTATAATGTAACACTTGTGAAATTGTTTGACTTGATGCTGATAATGGTGGCTGAAAGAATTAATTCATATGTGTAGGACTATCTGTTCCTTTGTGCTTTGTCTTATACTTAATCCTATCTCAGGCAAACATTTTGCTCTAATATTCTGTTCCTTAGCTGGAGAAAATACTGTTTTGCCAAGACCATGGGAAACTTTATATTTGGAGTTTTTTGCTTTAGGCTGGATCACTTTAATACTAAAAGCTTAAGAGAGAGTTTGTGTATTTAGAGTTTTGATGCCATAAACCAAACAGGACGTAGAGGCCTTGGAAAGCTGGGAGTTTATGTCACTCACTACTCATAGAGTATGTGTGTGCAAGGTGACTGTGGGCGAGTTCCCTGTTGTGAGGATTTTCCCCCGCCATTTGCTGTTAGCCAGAGGCACTGGCTCCTGCCAGGGCAAACAGCTTTTCTACATGTTTGGTAGCCTTCAGCCTATTTCCCAGCCATCAAGCTGGCTGGCATTTAACAGAAAACATGCTATTAACATCACAGCAGTCCTTGCATGGTATATTTGTATGTTAGTTTGCTGCTCCCTAGGGAACAAAATACTTTATTCTTGTTGTAGTTTGAAACTTTTTTTACTACCGGACAAGGTTTCAGAAGAGGGAATGGATTATACTTACTCTAGGAATTTTGGAATTGGAGACATGCTTTGTTTCTGAAGGGAGACTTTGTCAATGACTCTGTGGAACTTGGTCCTCTTTGATTGTTACTGACAAGACTCACAAAATCCTGAGCTAGCAGAGTTCCAGCTCAGTCCTAGAACACGCTTTTTATCCTGGGTATCATTTTCTTAGCACAAATGAACAAGAAATTGTGTCAGATCTATAATAACAGAACCTTTTCCATCAGGTATTGCATTTGAAAACAGGAGTGAAGTTGTATTTAGCATCTGCCTGGTAGCTGTCTGCCTCCCTTTGCAATGCGCAGCAGTAAAATTCCTTTTAGTTCTTTGGTTGCTGCTGTAATTTTCTTCCTGCTCTTCTGTTTACTGATGGCAGTGTATACGTGGTGGACCTTCTCTCCTCTTCCCTTGGTACTCTCTTCAGTAAAGTGTTGAAGAACTGTTGTTTAGTTCAGCTATATGGTATAACACGTCTGGCTTTTCTCAAGTACTCTGTCCTGATTTAGGCATCTGTTCAACTTGAAACAACATTCCGTGATACTACATGCCAGGATTTACTGTACAGTTCTAAGACTTTCATGGTTGATACGTATTTTGTAGGTATGTAATACCATAATTAAGTGACCTTTCACATTTAAAACTGATGTCCTTCTCCTGGTTCCTTGTGTGCTCATAATTTTGGAGGAGCCCTTTAGCAACTGGGTTATATATTTTGTGGGTTATATATATTACTACATGATTTTCAAGTGCTTGAGTTTGCAGCAGGTGCTGTGCTTTCGGAGTATCGTTGAGTATGTAAGATAAGTCAAGGAAGCTTTTGCGTGTAAGAACTTCCTGAATGAAAATGCATTATGGCCTCTGCTTTGCCAATTAAATGTAAGCCTTGCCTTGTCTAGCTTTGACAAAAATGTTTTGTCACAATATTTTATGGGGTCTTTTTTTGTACTGGTAGTTTAAAGGAGGACTAATTCTGCTGTATGCTCTGAAGGTAGCTTCAACTGAATTGAAACACTTTTTCTGTCTCTGTCTTCCAACCACTTAAAAGCTTTTTAGAGTATTTTTTCAAACTATTCAGCTTAGCAGTTTTTCTTCTTGTCAACCATATGGCTTCACAGTTTCTGGACTAGATTAATCTAATTTTGTCCTCTTTGTGCTGCAAGTCTCCAGATTTCTTCTCACTTGCCATTTGTGTGGGTTTTGAAAGGTTGTGTGGCAAGACGTAAAACTGCTGCTGTCTTTAACTGGCAAACGGGGGGCAACGTGCATCAGTGTTGTGAAGCATGAAGTTGTGTACGTGGGGATGAAGGACATGAGCCTGAAATACATGCTGGGTTCTGTAGGAATGCGATTCTAGGCCTGGTTCAGTCTCCTGGATGTGAGCTCCTGTAGCAGCCTTGAGACAAAACCAACCAAAACCTCAGTGCTTCAGTAGGTGAATGCGTAGTGTGCATCAGCAGATTTTGATGACCGGCACAGTGATAAAATTGCATGTGGAATGATCATGTCCTGTGGCGCTGTTGACAGATTTGAAAAGTAGACTAATGAGAGGTTTCAGAGCCAAGTGAATTGTTGAAGAATGAGCAAATTTTTGTGCTAGGAGACTTAGAAGTTAAAGTATTTTATCAGCGAGACATTTAAAAGATTATTTTAGTGCTTAAAAGCTTCTGTAGGATATGAGAAATTGAAGAGGAACTCTACAGGCAGCAGATGGAGGTGAGCACAAACCAATGTCCAAATGATGAAGCCAGATACTCCTGCTGCAAATGAAACACAAGTTTCTTCTGACTGTAAGGGTTATTTGTCACTAGAACAGTTTGCCTGTGGTCTGCTGGGTTGGTTGTTGCTAGCCATTCTAAAACCACAATGGAATATTTTTCTAGAAGACATATCAACTCAGACAGGAGTTATCTTGAGAGACTTATATTATGCTTAAGCAGGAGGACTGATTGAGCAGTTACACCACGCAGTCTCATCTGCAAACCTGTAAAATGAATTTTTTTTCCTTTTTTTCACTCCTCTATAGGTTTTGTTGATGAAATGTAACTGAATGTATTTATCCCTGTCAGAAACATTGTAGTGGTGATCAAAGGAAAGTTGCAGGAGCGTGGCACCTTCATGTCCAGTGTCTGTTGTGGATACAAAGAGCAAACTGAGAGTAGTTTCAGTGGTAACCCACTGAGTAGCCCAGAATGTTTTGGAAGGTTCTAAGTCGTGAACTTAAAGAAGAAATAATGTTTATCTCTTACTTCACAGCAAGGTGTTGGGGCCTCCATTTCCAAGGGAGCAGAAGTTGCATACTCTGAGAGATGGCAGTGGTGGGGAGCAGGTGGCTTTGACTAGTCAAAGTCTGCATGCTCCATAAAAGACACTTGTGGGGTGTTGGGGATAAATGCTTTGCATCCAGACTTTTGTTGTCATCTCTGTGCAAATGAGGCAGTTTCCTTGAGAGCCTGCAGTGTTGTGGGGTCATTAACAGTAGCTTCCTGCCCTTAAAAAGGGAAGCTTTCAGAGGAAAGCAATTTTTCTTAGCTTCTATCTATACCTTTCACCTGGAATCATAGTTACCTTTGTGACCATCCTGTGAAATGAGGGGGAGCAGCTGTGCTTCATAAGTCCTCAATCTTTCTTAGGTTATTACAGGTAGACAAGTAACTTGTAAGAATGCTTAAATTTATATCCCCAAGTGTGTTTGATTTCTATTTTTTTTTTCTCCTCTCTTGGAAAGCTGTTGGCCTCTCTTTCTTTGCTTTACTTCTCACATGATCCTTTCCAATTTTCTAACAGGAATTCCCTCAAGATCCTTGATAACTTTGTAGGTAGTCTTTGCTCTGCTCTGCAACTTGACGCTTATCTTCACTTTCTTATCTTTTTTTTTTCTTTCTTTTAATCTTCCTCCATAGTTCTTAGCTTTTTTTGTACAATTTTGCACAGGATTTTCTTGAAGTACTTCTGGGTACTCTTCAGTTGCCATCTGACTCTGGATTCTGCACTGCCTTGATGCTTCTGTTGGAAAGTTTGAAATCCCTTAAGTTGTTGGCCTCCTTTTCTTTTCTCCCTATTAGATTTCCTTCATATTACTTTCTTAACATCTTACTCTGTTCTCTCAGTAGGATCAAACATGTCTAGCAGAGATGTTTCATTTTCAAGTCTAGCACTTTTTAGATTGCCCTTCTTTGCTTCTA